AAAAATTATAATAAAATCATTTCCCCAGTGAGAATTGCCTTTGAAGTCCCGACCAAACAACTTCTAAAAAATGAAAAAAGAAGAAGAAGAAATATGGTGTAAATTTGAATATCAAATTATACAATATTAATTATTAACTAATTTATATTTTACACCGTAATAAATCTAAATTAAATAGGTTGGAAAAAAATTGATCGTTCTCATTGGCAGTAGGGCCCTACATTACCCACCAAAATTCTCATTAATTAGAAACGTAAAATTTGAAAAACGCAAACAGGAGAGAGTGCCGAGAAAAGCAAGAGATCTACCAGACCAGAACAGAACAGCAAAACACCAAAATCAAAAATTTTTATTCAAAAAAATAAAAAATAAAAAATAAAGATCTCCTTCCTCTTTCAGTTCTTCCCTCCCTCTTCTCCGATCAGATCTGTCCGCCCCCCGCCTTTCCATCTTCCGTTCGTCAAGTTCTTCTGGTTTTCTCATTCTTCTTTCCCTTTCCATTCCCAATCTTCAGTTTCTCCTTTACCTCAAAATTCTGTAATCTCCGCCTCCTTGTTTCGCTCGGTTTATTTCTCAATTGCTTTCCGGTTCAGATTTTGAATCTCTTGATCTGCCTGCTGTATCTGTTCTTTGTAGGTTTTTTTTTAAGAATTTGGGCGTTGCGCTGGAATTTGATTGCTCTTATGCTCGAATTTGATTAGGGTTTGATTCACATTATTTATTACCAAGTGAATGAGGAGTTAATTTTATGAAATTTTGAGGGTTTCTGGGTATTTTGGGAATGGCTTCGGCTCAGGTGTTGCCTAGTTCGCGGAAACAGGAGCATCTGGAAGCTGGAAAGCGTCGGGTACGTCTTCTTCTTCTTGTTATTGCAGCTGCTTTATATCTTTGGGTGTTCTTTTTTTTTTTTTTTTTTTTTTTTTTATTCTGCTGTTTAATTTGACATATGCTTATGGATTTTGTCATCCAAGTGCTACTGATTAGATTTTATGATTCATTTTTAAGTAACCATTAAATTGGAGGGGCCATGGGGCAGCTAGTTTTGTGATAAATCCCTGGGTAAAATTGTAGGGTAAGTGTTGTACTCATAGTCTCATACATGGATGTCATTTGGCAGTGCAGGAGCTGGGAACTCTTTGTAGTGGGGTGATTTAATCTGATGATGCTACCTCTATATTCTCATAATGCTATACTTTTAATACTTTGATCTTATTATTTATTATCATTAAATTATTGATAGTGGCACTAAAGAATTGCATTTTCGTTGTTGTTCATTTATTTTGTATTCACACTGATTGGAAAATTCTCCTGAATTTTTTTCTTTTTTTGGTATTTTTTTCTGTTACAATTACCTAGAGAAAATATATAATTACTGTTAGTGCCTCCCCTTTACTAAAACTGACGTTTTTCTTTTGCAGCTTGAAGAATTCCGCAAGAAAAAAGCGGCAGAGAAGGCTAAGAAGGCTGCATCTATTAACCAGCCACAAAATCAGTTAGAAGTTGAACATGTGCAAATCATTGATGTGGATGGTGTTAGTACATCTGATGGACCCTCTACTTCAATAACTAACAACAAGAACAGCAGCAAGGAAATGAAATTTGCCCATGAAACTCAGCAAGTTTTGTCAACTGATACAAATGCTAGTCCAAGAGTTTCTGTGAATGGTTATAGTTCGTCTTCTGTAGAATATCAGACACATGCAAACAATATAGAAATCAAGAAATATAATGCTTCAGGGAATGGACCATTGGATGTAAATTATAGCTCAGGCACTAAACAGATGGCTAATGACTTTGAAACATATGTTAATGATCAAGATGCGGCTGCATATGCGCATTCATCTGCCCACCTTATTGGTGTGCACCAACAAGCAAGCCAAGATTATGAGAACAATTATAGTCGATCTAGTTTTCGTGGCATTGAGGAATCCAAGTCTAAAGAAAAGGACAATTCTTTGAAGGTTTCTTCAGCTGTAAGTGCAATATCTTCTCAAGATTTTGTTACAAAATTCTCCTTTCAGAACTCACAGCAAAGTAGGCCCAGTAATGCTAGCTCACTTGGTAGTGACTATGCATTCTCCACTTTGTATGAAGGTAATGTATTTTTGAACTCTAGTTTCTGTTTCCAATTTCCTTTGAAGTCTGACCAGAGTTTCCACATATATGCATTCTTGATGATTTACTTTTGGGTCGAAATTGACAACTATTATATTTTACTGGTTTTGATTGTAGATTCTGTTCAATCTACCACTAGCGTTGGAGGATTTCCCCTTGAAGTTAGGAAAGACATGCTGGACAGCACAGCATTAACAGAACCTATGATTTCTATCCCCAGAGAAAAAAGGATTGGAAGCTCAGCTAGTGGTTTTGCTAGCATGCAAAATACATCCACGCTAATGTCTGAATCTTCAGGATTCAGTTTTGATGTCCGAAATTCCTCAAGCCACATGCCACCACATCCAGTCACAAATGACACTAGTTCTCGTAGATCTCGTCCTTCTTTTCTTGATTCTCTTAATGTGTCCAGAGCTTCGTCAGGTTCTCCCTTCCAACGGAATGAACCGCAAAAGGATTCATTTGTCTTCCATACTTCACAAGTTAGCAGTACAGATGTCCAAGGACCATCTCCTTTACAAAAGCCATTATCAGAGACTGAAACTAATTACTCAGAACTGGGAGCTTCTAAAGTTCCTAGTGCAAACGAGCAACCTATGAATTCTTCCTTCTTTGCTAATAATGATAGTGACCCATTGAGGTTGAGTGTTAATGAGAATAGCATGGAGAAGAAGCATGAATATTTTTCACCCCAAAAGAATGAAGATTTTGCTGCTTTGGAACAGGTACTCATTCTTGTTCTCATGTTTTTGATATATACTCCTTAGCTTACTTAGATTCTTAGTTTTGAATGGTTTAACTTTTTGATGCATTTGAAACATGGCATGATAGGTTTAGAGCATTTCACTTTAATCTTCAAAGGTACAGTCCATGATCCAACAGTTTAAAGCTATGATCTAGTGGCATGATTTTGGTATTTTGGAAGTGAATTAGGCTTGTTGGCATGATTGATATTACTTGACTGCATTGGATCCACAGACACTTCAAACATTTCCGAAAGATGAGGCAGATATTAATGACACTTCAAACATTTCCATCAAAATCATTGAGATGAATGCTTTCTCTTGCACTATGAAGTTTCCTTTAATTAGCTTTTGATGTTCATTTATGGTATAGTGTCTCTAGTAATCACAATGTTTGGTATTTGAGTTTCACTCTCTATTTTGTTTTTGTTAGGGAAATTTTATTATTTTTTTATTTGCTTTCATTCTGCAGCATATTGAAGATTTGACTCTAGAAAAATTTTCATTACAACGAGCTCTCGAGGCTTCACGAGTTTTAGCGGAATCCTTGGCTGCTGAAAATTCATCCCTGACAGATAATTATAATCAACAGGTTTGTTTGTAAATATGATTCTTGTGGAACGTAAGAAATATGCTAAATGGAGTTGTTCTTATAAATATGTTGAAGGTGGCATTTATTTGCCTTATCTTTTCCATTTTTGTAATATCATGAGTAATAGTTTTGTGTGTGTGCGTGTGTAAGTTGAATAACATGCTGGAATATGTATTGCCAACATAATGTCGTGAAATGAGCCATCTTATTTATGTTCTGTCTAATGCCATGCAGGATGTTCTTTACATAAAGTCCATGGTTATCAGAGTTTCTACTTATGGTCTTTCTTCCTCTGTTTCCTTTGTGCTTGCATTTCTTTTTGTTTTATTTGTTTCTTTTTCCTTCAGCTGGGGGTTGGATGTCTTTGTTACCATATAACATGTTTGAGTTTCAAGAAACAAAAACTTGCATTAATATGCTTGCTTATTAAAACATTAGCCTCTAACAAAATGAATAGGGTAGGATTTAGCTCCTAATTTAGGCATGTCAAAGAAATAGATTTGACTTTTTCGAACAACAATGCCAACAACAAAGATATACTATGAAACATTTATAATCATTTGCTAGAAGACTCAAGTGATTGACTTTTATCTTATATGCAACTCTGGATTTAACATCCTTTCTGCATGGTTTGACGCATGAGATTACACATCTTTGTACTGCAACTTCATTGCTGCTTATTTATGAATGTTGAAAAAGCCCCTTGATGGCATTTCATTGTCTCATATTTCTACTAAGTCCTTTGCTCAACCTTTTAATACCTATTAGCCTACTTTTTCCTCAGAGAAGTATTGTCAACCAGCTAAAGTCTGACATGGAGAAGTTACAAGAAGAAATCAAGGCCCAACTGGTTAGTGTTTTAATTTTGTCTTAGTGTGCTTAGGTTGCCGAGCAAGTAAATTGATCTTCTCTCTGGGTATTAAATAAATTGATTAGGTGATTTTGCAATGCTGTTTATCTGTCAATATGTTTTATTTTATCTTTTTCTGTATTAAATAAAGTTTGCATCCGTTGGAGATCTTTAAATGAGACAAACATTTCTTCCTTGTTCTTGACATTTTTATTTCTTATCCAATCTTTCCCAGTTTTACTTCAATGTCAAACATGTGATGCTTTCAGGCAGAACTCGAGTCCTTAAAAATGGAATACACAAATGCACAGCTAGAATGTAGTGCAGCTGATGAACGTGCCAATATATTGGCTTCAGAAGTTATAGGCTTAGAGGAGAAGGTAATAAATTTTAGTTGATGAAGAAGGTTTTCTTTTCTCTCTTTAATGTTAGTCCTTATTTTAAGTCTCTTTCTCTTGGTTGGCTCTCTTGTCTATTATATGAACTTGATTTCCTAATCTGTTTGCCTATTTGATATCAACTTTGGCATTGGTTGGATTTAATCATTTCTTCTGTATATTGTTCTTGTAGGCACTTAGACTACGGTCAAATGAGCTAAAATTGGAGAGGCAATTGGAGAACACACAAGCTGAAATATCTTCTTATAAGTATGCATTAATTTTTAATTTGACTATAGTTAAAAGACCTGTGTTCTGTGGTCTCTGTTTAAATTACCCTTTTTTTTTTCCCCTTTCGTTTAAGATTTTTTGCATAGCTTTTCTATGAGTGTAACCCTGGTCTTGTTGGTAGGTTCCTGCCTAATTTTGGATTTGAATATATGTAAATCACATTGAGAAGTAGTTCTTTAGGTTATTATTTCCCAATTATTATTTCCCAGGAGAATCATAGTATCAAGGGATGTGTTATGGACTGAATTCTAAAAGGTGCTTAGGTTGGATAATAGAAAGAGAGTGATTTATCTAGTATGGAATAATTTTCCAATCCAAGTTTTTCTATTTTGTATCTTAGAATCATGAAAACATGTAGAAAGTTAAGGTATAGAGTTTTGAGTTACAGAAGAATGTGGTCTTGGATTAATGGGAGAAATTGACTTTGTTGGATTTAGATGGGTAAAATGTTAGTTACTAGTTAGAAACAAAGAAAAGAAACTCTGTAAACTTTATTTTGGGGTTAAGGTCAGGGGTTGAAACCCCTGCAATTACTAAGCATTACCTTCTTTGCCAATATATTCAAGGAAAAGAAAAAAAACACAAATATGAAGATTATATACGTATTTATAGATTCTTATATCCCTTTTTTTAATCAAACTTCTTACCCATTATTAGTTTAAAACATTTCATATGTTTATTTCGTTTTTTTCTTTTTATTTCTTTCATTTTTCAACAATTATGAGGTCCCATGGGTTAGATTCATTTGAGGATTTTTCAGATTAAGTTCTCTTATAATTTCATTTGATTTCTACTGATTCTTTTCTTATGAAAATTCCTAATGAATCTTGCAGAAGGAAAATGTCTAGCCTAGAGAAAGGGTGTCAGGATTTGCAGTTAACTATTGATGCTTTTCAAGAAGGTAAGCATGCTAGTGCTGTGGTAAATGAGATTTTCTTATTTTTCTTTCATATATTTAAGGAATTTTCTAGGGCACAGGTTAAGGGCACCTTTTTGTCATAAATTTGTATAGAAAAATATAAAAGCTAACATTAATTTTAATGTCATTGCCACATGGATAAATTTTAATTAGATAGTTGATAAATTAAATGTCAATTTTATTCTTCCAAGGCTCTAGGGCACAAGTTAGAAAAACCCTATATTTAATTGTTATGTGTTTTTCTCTTATCTTTTACACAGAGAAGAAGGTTTTGCAGTCTAAGCTACGGAAAGTTTCTTTGGGTGGGAAACCTGTTGATATTAGTAAGAGTCCTGCGAGTAGGAAAGACATGTCAACTTCTACTGAGGATCTAGGTAATTATGCCTGCTTTCTGAAGTCTGATTACTGCATAAAAAAATTACAACTGATTTTACTCAAAACTGTTACAGGAAATCTGGTTGCATTGATAAGCTAGTTTTCTATGTTTTTAAAGTAGTGCTTTCTTATAGTTGCTCTGATTTAATCCCCTACAATTTGGGTGTTGAATCTATTTATTGCACTTGCATGGCAGATACAGATGCCATTTCAGCCACATCGAATGAGGAAATGCACAATTCTAGTTTGCTTCTTGGAAGTGGTGCATCTAGTTCCACCATGGTGCCTGAAAATGGAGAATTATTATTTGAAGCTTTATCTGTTAATATTCCTCCTGATCAAATGAGAATGATTCAAAATATTAATGCTCTAATTTCTGAGGTAACTTTCCTTACTGCCTAAATATACTCTTGTAGGCTATTTTGCCTCTTTCTTTCTGAGGGCAAGTCCTTATATATGTTTTATTCAAGTTGTTGAAGTTGATGCCTGATATTCGTATCAATTTTTTACATGGCATTTTTCTTATTGCAGTTAGCTTTGGAGAAAGAAGAGCTGATGCGAGCTTTGTCATCTGAATTATCTCAAAGTTTGAAGCTGAAAGTAATTTACCTTATGTTCTTATCCATGCAGCTTGTTAGTTGGATCATTCCAGTTGCATTGTCCAATCATGTTTCCTTGAGTGGCCTTTGAATTATACATGTATTTAGCTAGTGTAATATGGCCTATCCATTCTACTTGGAGAAGCCATACTAAAATATAGGTTGCTAAAATATGAACTTTTAGCTGAAAAAGAAAGAATGTAGCCTTCTCAAAACTTGCCTAAAAGCCACTTTAAAAAGCCAATTTTTGACTTTCCCTCCAACCAAATTTCAAATTTGTGAGGGAAGAATTTGCCTTTTAAACATTGCCAAACACCCTCAAATTCTTGCCATGCACTGTAGTTAGGGACAGCTTATTGATATGGTTTAAAGTGGGTTCATGTTTTGAAGTTCATTATATTTATTAGTTTTCTCTCAAAAAGGCTGATCTTGCTTCTTTGAATTAAATCTTCTGGGAGACAGTCTGGCCAATTTAAAGTTTCTCTAGAAGTACTGTTTTAGTAGGGCAATTGAATACTGCTAAAAATTAATTCATGTGGATTGCTGTCTTCTAAAAAAATTGTGGATTACTCATAAGCAATTATCTACATGTTAAATTAAAATTTAATTATTTGCTTAAAGCTTCAGATTCAGAGTTTTAGCCTCTAACCTTCTAGAAGTGCTGATTTGATATTATTGAGAAGCCAGTCTTCTCATGATAACCATGTTTCACTCCCTCTTCAGCTTCTAAAGCAGTAAAAGTATTCTAGAAGTAGTCATCCGGACTCTCAATTTTCTTTGTGCTGTCAATCATATCTATATCATTCCCTGTGTTTATTGCTTGTTGATTATTTCCATTTCTAGACTTTTATTACTTTCAGAATGACGGTTAATTATGTACCTTGTGGTCCTCTCCTTGTCTTTGATGAATGAAGGAATTGAACAAAGAGTTGTCTCGAAAACTGGAAGCTCAAACTCAAAGATTAGAGCTTCTGACTGCTCAGAGTATGGCCAGTGAGAATGTTTCAGCTCGACAACCTGATTCTCACACTATGCATGAGAATACTACATATGCAGACGAGGGTGATGAGGTACCATATCTCTCTCTCTCTCTCTATAATGCCATGATAAATTGTTTTTTCCACATTTTTCATTATCCTATCTGAATCTGTTGTAGCTCCATATGATATTTTACTCTGTTAATTTCACATCCCAAGCCATACATTTTTTGCAAAGTGACTGAAAAATGCATTTTCATTTATATTTAACAAAAAATATTATAAATTTATATACGTGGGCCAGCTAGTGAGCTTTCGAGCTGAACCTCTCCAAGATCTATTTTGGCTTGAAAAGTTAATCAAGCTTGAGCCAAGATTAAATCAACCTGAATGGTTTATTAACGGCTTGGTTCATTTGCAACCCTAATAAAACCATTATATTCTTGAAAATGCAATAAGTTGCTAATAAGTTTTTATTTTTCTTTACGTCTTTCTAGGTGGTGGAAAGAGTTTTAGGATGGATCATGAAGCTCTTCCCAGGGGGACCATCAAGACGTCGAACCAGCAAGCTTCTTTAATGTGGAGTATGGATACCTCGTTAACTAAGGTCTGTTCTCAGATATGCTATTGGTCTGTTTCCTTTTGCCTTCCCTTGTTTTGCAAATATGTGAGGGAAGGGTCGTGATATGTACATTGTGAGTCATCATATACAAATCCATTCTTTTCTATTAGAAGGAAAATGAAGCATGTTATAATTGATTGGCAAAATCCAAGTGATTTATTTCAGAGAAGGCAATAAGGCGGGCCCTTGCTGCGGTCATAGAGTCTTGTTTGGGGATCAAATTTTGATGGGTGCGTTTGTTCAATGTCAAAAGGAGATTGAACTGTTGGTATACAAAAAACTGGGAATTTATGTTGTCTTGAGTACTTATTAAGCCACATGGTTAGAATCATGTTTGTATACACTTTGGGGGTTAAGCCCATGAAATTAAACATTCGATTTTCAGATTTTTGATGGTAGTGAAGCCCTTTCTTCCATTTCCATGCAATCAGCCGGCAATGCCTGTTTGAACGCAACTGGGATTGTTGTTGTTTTTATTGTATTGAGTACTATGGATCAAAAGGGCGGGAAGAGCGAAGATTTCATTTTACTGAAAAATCGAATGCCGAAAACGGTTTTAACTCTTTGAACCGTTGATCATTACCTATGCATTAATGAAAGATGAAAATTTTGTTGGAAGAAAATGGCTTTTTCTCCCTCTTCAGTTTTTTTTTTTTAAGGTAAATCTCCCTTTTTCAGTGTTACTTTATGGGAAACCATTTCGTGCTGAATATGAGTGGAGAAAGGGAAAATGTGGGCCAAATAAGAAAAATTGTGATGGAATGTAGTGATGGTGACTAAGCCAGAAATGAATGAGCCTGTCGGGATTGTCTGCCTTTAACAAACTAGTTCTACTTCCTGCAATTGCATAATTCAATCATCAATGTTCAAAGATAAGATTTACTTGTCCTTACTTTCTCCCTGTGGGCTCTATCCGCGTGCAATGCAACATGAAACTGATAGCTCTGAGTCTTCTTTTTCGTTATTGCCATTTCAATTGTAATGACAATTGAGAGAATTGGGACTTCAACCATCAAATTTGGTTTAGAATAATAGCTTAGTCTGACCTGAAAAATATTTTTTAAATAATATATAATGTATGATAATAGCTAAGCTAGGGGTACCATACCAGAGAGATATGGATATTAAAAACATATAATTTGACTTTGATTATTTAAAAATTCTGATACAAATTTCATTATATAGAGAACTAGAAAAACAGAAAAACAATAAATTTATAAGCCTCATCTTCCTTTGAATAAAAAGAAAGAAAACCCAAAGCCTTTCCAGATCTTGGGTTTTTCTAAGGAGAGGGCTACTTTCTCATATATTCTTTTTTTTTTTTCACATTTTTTTCCTATCTCCAAAACAAAAGAAGCAATCAAGAAAACATGGAAATAGTTATGGAATCAGAAATGTGATATGCATCTTCTATGTCGCGCCGCAACAGTTTTCTTCTTCTGCCTGGTTTCTTCTTTCCAGCTCCTGGCAATGTCATGAGCCACACTGATTGCATCCAAAGATGCACCAGAGATTCCTCTCCTTGTGAACCCAACTGCATAAAGCCCTGCATTCCCTTTCCACCCATTTGGGAATCGATTCTTTGGAATCCCATCCTTGGAAAAGAAGTCATTTTCCTGTTTGGACATACACAAACATTCCTCAGTTAGCAATACAAAATTCCAACCTTTTACTTTCCCAAACAATAATTTAATTGTCAACGTCAAAAGTTATTCAGATCAAATTTCACTCTTAAATAATATTAAATATTATTAATAAAATAATATAAAAAAGATCCATTAACAATATTTTAATAAATTTATAAATTAAACAATACTTTTAATATGTGATTTGATCCAAAATATATTTTTTTATTTCTAAATTAATAAGTAAGTCAAAAAAAAAAAAAAAAAAAAAGGTAATAAAGAGAGAATCTGGATAGACCCTAACTTCCATAACTGTCACATGAATGAATAATATATACTTATATATATAAAAGGAGAATCTTCCTCTTCTTACCTTAAGCCAAGATGGAACATTGCTGCGATACCCAGTTGCTAGAATAACAGAATCAACATCAAGGATTTCTCCATTGACGAGCTCGACTCTGCCTTTGGAAAACCTCTGTATCCCGGGGACAATCTTGATCTGTCCCGTTCTGATCTTCTCTAATGCTCCGATGTCCAAAACAGGGGTTTTTCCGGCAGTGTTTTTTAGCTCTAGTGGCCCTGTTGACGGCCGCTTCAGACCAAACTTCTCGATGTTTCCGAGAATCAAACGTGCCAGAATCAGCAGTATTTTGTCCACCAGCCAGAGTGGCAGCCACCTCATCATCAGCATTGTCAATTCGAATGTCGATTTTCCGAACACTTCTCTAGGCAAAACATGAACCTGCAAATCCAAAACAGCGTAAGCGGAAAAAATTCCCACATATTGGGCTCGTTAATTCCATCAATCGCAGAATTTGAAAGATTTTGAGTTTTTGAAACGTACCGAGTTTCGGACCACCATTGAAGGACGTGCATTGTGGTTGCAGAGATCAAGGGAGACTTCCATGCCAGAATTCCCACATCCGACGACCAGGACACGCTTTCCGGCGTACATTTGGCCGGATTTATAATCACAAGCGTGGGAAACATGACCTTTGAATTGCTCCAAGCCTTCAAACTCCGGTACCACCTTCTCTGCATTTTCTCCGGTGGCCACCACAAGCCACCGGCAGATATACTCGATTTCAACAGGAATGGAGCTGATTTTTGAGACAGTCTTGACTCGCCACAGGCCGAAAGTCTGGTCGTACTTGGCGGACTGCACCGTCTCGTTAAAATGTGGAGCGATGTCAAAGTGTTTGGCGTAAGACTCAAGGTATGTAATGAATTGGTATTTGCTGGGGTATTCCGGGAAGTCTGTCGGAAAGGGGAAGTCAGGGAGCTGGCAGAATTGCTTTGGAAGGTGAAGCTTGAGGCGATCATAGGTGCGGTTTTGCCATAAGGAGGCAATGCAGTTTGCCCGTTCCAAGATTATAAAGGGGACACCTTGACTTTTAAGGCAAGCCCCCACTGCGAGACCGGAGGGGCCTGCCCCCACAATGACTGGACCATTGACCCATATGCACCGACGAGAAAAGAACTCGTCCTGCCCGTAAGTTTGAGACAGGTTCGGGATGTTAACGGAATGGTTAGACATCATAAACAAATGTTTTAGTTGATTTGGTAATGGGATCAAAAGGGAAGAAGAATACAAGTACGTATTCTATAGATTTTGAGGAATGAGAGAAAGGAGGAATGAAATGGAGTTTGTATGTGCATGAAGGTGATGATGGGGACGTGGGGGGGTTGAAGAAGGGAATAGAGGGGGTTAAATAGGGGAGGGGATGAGAGGTCCATGTGATTGGGATTTGAAAATGGTAGTTTTTTTTTTTTTTTAGGGATCATTGTTCTTCTAAAATGATAAATTTGTAAATTGTGATTGTTACTATGAGTAAATTAATCTCAAAATCATAAAAATAAGATTATTTGTATAATTAAGTGCCTTCTAAAATCTAAAAGAACATGTAAATTATTTAAGAGAGGGGGATGCGTTAATTTGAAATTATTATTATTATTCTTAATATGAGTAGAAAAGGATCTTGCCCTATGACCCAATTTCTGTCAGATTCGAAGCGTAGTATAGAGCCAATTGTGACCACCAAGCCAGCTATTTGACCTTGTTCACATGTCATTCATGTCTCTCCCTCCTTCTTTTGCTCTCAGTTTCTTCTTTTAAAAATTGATTATTTGAGAAACGAAACTGTTATCCCTATTACATAAGTCATAGTTCCCAATTTATGTATACATGTAAAATGACTTGTAGTGTGGTTATGATGTTATCTCTTTCATGTTGGAGGTAATTTTTGTAAGTCATTAAGAAAAACATGTATGACAAATAAAAAGGATCATAGATAATTGGGAGAAATTCATATATATAATAAGATAACATAGTAGTGGTATTCTCGTTTGTTATTTTAATGACACATCAATATATATGGTCTCCATTTATAATAAATTAAATTTTTAATCATAGAAAAAGACCTCACATGCTTACATATATGTCGTTGTATTAGTAGATATATCTCTATTATATGAAAGAATTTTTCAGACACAAGAGATTACCTTGCCTTTTATCCTATATAAATTGATAAAGCTAGAATCTATTTATAAACTAATTTACTTTTTAATTTGGATGGTTAGCAGTGTCAATTCAAAACTTGAAAAATTGGAGAAGAGTTTTCCGAATGAAAGAGCTAAACATTTTTTTTTTTTTGTTACAGTATATAACACTATGGCCATGATCTATATATCTAAAAGGAAAATCAGATGTTCTAATTCATATATATTGCACCAACTGCAAACTCCTTAACCCCATGATCAATTGAGCATGTCTAATTATGGAGTTGAGGTTTTGCAATTTGAATAGTAATTTAGAGAGTAAAACACATTTTTTCTTTTTCCACATTAGAAAATGTTTTTCTCCTTCTATCATTGGTGCTGTTTCCCCAAGTTATGTGCCTTTGAGGTATGTAGGGAGTAATATAGAGAATGTTGTTCTTGGTTTGTTATTTAAGCATTGAGTCGTAATTCTTGTAACTGATATAAATACTATGTGATTGTAAGTTTATAAGTGAAATATTACTTGTACTTTGAGTAACGAAATTTTTTATTCATGTAAAAAAATTAGAAAATATTTTTCAATTTTTCATAAATTTAAGAATATTCCATATTTATGAAAAAAGAATAATTAATCCAGTTTGATGATCTGATGGATTGAATTGAAGAAACATCTCCTCCCCCAGGTGAGCCGAATTACTCACATTCCACAAGAATTTACAAGTCCCAAAGATGTTTGGTAGTTGTGCTTCCGAGCAGCCCGGCTACACATTCCACAGAGGTTAACCAAAACACGTACCTGGAAAAAATTAACTTTAATTAACCAACCAAGCAACTCCTAGTAATTGGAAATCAGAATTAAAAACTCTCTTGAAATCATAAAAACCGTCTATTGTTGTACCACCGGTTCTATATTTTTTAAAAATTTCTACCGTAATTCATTAGAATCATTACACTCATAACTTAATTGGACATACTTTTTTAAGTGATGAGCCGACGTTGAAGCTGATACAGAGATGAATGAATGTATATTCGTCCATGTGTTTCAACTTTCAACTATAAAAGTAAATCCATTGTAAATAAATCCATTTTAAGTGGTAGGCTTCGACCTTCGATGTTGCAACTTGGCAAGTGATCGAGGGCGTGAATAAGAAATTTAGATGAGAGAAAAGAGGGTGGACATGTGCATGCATGCACGCATTCTATTCTTTTCACGCAAAATAGGTAAAAGAAAAGAAGAGATGTTTTTGTTCTTCTTGGGTTGTTGTGATCTAAGAGCTTCGAAATGAGTAGTCCATCATCCTAATCTTGTGAATGGTCTCGATCTTCATCGAGGCATATATAATTTAACAAGCGAAAAAAACCATATCATATGCAATATATGTAAATATATACTCTCTCTCTCTCTTTCTCTCAAGAGAGAGATAGTCCTTTAATTTTCAATAATATTTCTAGTACAGTCCTTCAAGATTTATTTCTTATAGGGTTCGAGATATAGTGTTGAAGACAAGCTCGTCTTGCAAGATATATAACCTCATAAATGAGCTAAATTCAATGTTTATTAAGCAGTTCATTAATTACTTTACAATGTCATTGTAAAATATTGATTAATTGACTTTGTATTACAATTAAATTCCATTTATGTTTAGGAGCAATAACTACCGAAGAAAATCTCAAACTAAATGATGTTAGGATGATTATAATTTTTATTTTATTGTTAATTTGAGTTTCATTGTTAGGACGTGATAGGATACAATGAACTTTTAAGAAATTTGGTATATGTTACAATTATTATTAAGACACTAATTGATATACATTTTGATTAAATATGTACAAGTTTTATATTTGAAATTAAAAAATCATTATTTTTTTATATAAAATTAAAAATAGATAAATTTAAAGATATAATCCTATATATATAATACAAAGACTGACTAAATAGATTATATTAATCTTATATTTTAATAATTCAACCAAAATGAATGTTAGAAAATGTATTGAATCGGGTATATATACCAATCACACCAATCATTTTCCTTATTGTTATTGTGGGACTCTATGTATATGAGTCAATAATTTTTTTTTTTTTTATCTTGAGTTGCATAGTTAAAGATAATTCTTTTTCATCCCTCAATGCACTGCAATTTTAATTTAGAATTTATTATTTTCACTGAAAAGAAATTACCATTAAATTACTTAAATTATTGGCATATGTTTTTTTTATTAATTAAGAATCAAAATATAATAAGAATTCTTTAGGGATGTTTCAATTGGTAAGAATTTAAGATTGTTAGTTACTAAATTTAAAGTTTAAATCTTCATAAATATGTGAATTTAATATCATTGTCCGTTTGAAAAAAAGAAAGAGCCAATTCTAATTTAGGGTATACTCAACATCAATTGTAATGTAAATTTAATATCAATAAACGTTTACCCCAAAATATTGAGAGTAAAATGAAACAATGATCTGATAGTTTAAAGAACATCTTTATTATGGCATTGGGAAGTAGGGTTGGGTTTGTATCCCTCTCCCCAAATGTTTACATTCTATTTTGTTTGATTGTTATTAACATCAAACAGTTAATAGAATAGATTATACTTATTATGGTTTAATTTGACAATACTAACTTATAACTATAGTTGTAGGTTTTTGATTTTTTAATATCTTAAAAATATATAAAATTTATTCAATATACATTTTAATTAACATTTTGTATATTTTTAAAATAATAAAAGATATAAAAACTAAAAGTTTAAATACTGTAAAGTATTATCAAACAAAATCTATAATCATTTGAAATTTGCTTCTAAAGTAATGTTTTGGAACACCTTAACTAAATATTTTTCTTAAAAAATTTATTAAAATTAACCAAATCAAAAACACCCTTACACAGAAAAATTGGGAGAAGTGACTAGCCAATTAATCTAACTCCGTGATATGTCTGCAGCCCTTGGTCCAACTTAGATTTCAAAGATCTCAACTACCTAATATTTTATGCGTGGCATAATGTTTATATAAGAAGCAAATCGTTAACGAATTAACTTCACATTGCTGGATTCCATGTTTATTATTTTTGTTGTACTTCTTTAGTTAATTTCCTTCTAATTAAAAACCTAAAACGAATACTAGTAGCACTTTCGGTTCATTAATGTTCGATGGATCTCTTTGGTTTGATCTTGGTCAATGCAGAGAACTTGGGGAAAATAAATTATTAGGGTTGAAGAAGATTGGGATATTAAACTAATGTTAGGTTTCGAATGATTAGCAAATGGTCCCATTGGATTTGCCTTGGATTTTCTATAGAGAAATATATGTTTTACATCATTTCTCTTCTTTATTTTATATACAAAGGCACACTCATTGTCTTTGCAAAACTTCTCCCATTGTTTTATTCTTTTGCCATGTGAATTTGAGGATCGGAAATGTTTCCTTCATAATGAAATTAGGGTCACATGGAAACATGCATGAGAGGTTGAGAATAATGTTGAGAAAAAAAATAAAATAAAATATAGAAGCAAAATCGCTTTCTTCCCCTAAGACTCTATAAGCACCATTAGCACCAACACATTAATAAAAATTTTATAATTTCATGTTATTGAATAATGAAGACATACAGAATCGCTAATCTCTCTATAATCTTCAATTTGGTAACTCAACTTGTGATTTCTTAATTATTTGACTAATCCCAAACACTAGTACTAATCCCAACTTTTTTTTTTTTTTTGAAAAATACTAATCCCAACTTTAATGACCTAACGATTGTTCAATTTCTAATACGAAACAATTATGTGCAGGATATAAACTATTATGCTTACATTACATATAATGCAAATTAAATATAATTAATTAGATGATAAACTATTGATAATGACATCTTTCTTGGAAGATTATTTGGGAGGTTGTTTAGAAGAGATTTTTAGGTAGCATGTTCGACTTTGTTTTTCCTTTTTGTATGCCAAATAAAGTCAATAAAATTGGGGTAGAGTCTCTAGGATATACATAGGAGGTGACCTAATCATGCCTAAAAGCCAAATTTTGGTCAAATAAAGGTAGTGATGGTGATGCCCCTACGTTTAAATCATTTGACTAGTTAGCATAATTTGATGCTACAAGGATTAAAAAGGCCAAAATGGTTATCATTTTGTTATAAATGAGGATGTACGTACTTCTATAATTTTCTTTTCTAGTTAGGAATTTGGTTAGGGCTTGACGATTCATTATGAGGGAGAGAATCTCACCCCAAAAATAAAAACCACATCAAGTTTATGGCCCTTGAAAATCGGAAGAGAATGAATAAATTTAAGTTAAATCATTTTAAAAGTTGCTTCAGTTGTTGAGGTCGGTTGCCTGAATGAATGAGTCCTGTTGGCTGTTGCTATGATCTCAGATCATCCAAATATTTGAGAGACTTTCAGCGCCAAGGATGTAGAATCTATCTGTGCTGAAGCCTGCAGACAGCAGCTATCAACTTCATCACATTATATTTAATTATGATGCATTTTGGAGATCAAATAATAAAGTTCTGATGAGTTTCTAATACATTGAATCGATTAGGTTTGAAAGGCAAAATTAAGTGACTAAGATTTAATACAAGTAGAAGAACTAAAAGGGTAGAGTGCATCAGCAGGAAACATGGTGCACAGACAAAACAGATATAAAAATGCAACTAACTCCCATAACTGAAATAACTGTAAACTGGTCAAAGCAAAATCAATCAACTGATCGGATGCAGAAAGAAGCATGGGGTGGGTGGGGGACACATGTGATCACATGAAAGTTGCAAGAGGTTTTTCTGGGTCAATGACCGTTGGATGGGAACTTTGGTCAAACCATGCCTTCAATGGAAATTCTCTCTTCAAAAATTATGTGGCATGTGCTTTCTTCACCCTAACGAAATTTTATGTCCTCTCAATGGTCTTAGTGTTGCCCCCTCAATAAAATACCCAAGGCTGGAGGAAAATAAAATTTAAAAGCATTTCACACTTGAACGGTCGGTCCAATTGATTAAAAGGTGCATTTACGAATCCTATGAACTTGAATTAGAATTTCAAAGCCATTTTCCACCCCTTCTCAGAATATAAAAATGAAAAAGGATGTATCTCCATAAAATTGCATAGTGAAATTTGAAGCTATATGAACAAGAAAGAAAATAAATAATTATATAATTCATCCACTTCTTGCTTCATACAATAAGAAATCCGGGGGGATCACCAAAGTAAAAATAAATAGCAGCTCCTCCCAGCAGACTGCTACATTGAGATTTTTCTCCCGCCTGTAATCCTTAATAATGTGGATGCAAGGTAAATAGTAAACAAAAAAAAAAAAAAAAAAAAAAAAAAGAAGAAGAACGCAAAAGAACTGTTAAATAGCATCCTTTGCCCACTTTAACTACCTCACTCCAGCTAGTAAAATTTTCACAACCCTAATTTAAAAATGATGACATTTCACTTGGGGCAATGGACGTCACAGCAACAGAGAAAAACTATATGCAGAAGGGAATAAAACTAAAGAACTTGGTGTTGGGATTTACAGTACGGCATTGGGATGGAGAAACTTCTGTCCAGTCTTGATATGCTTCGCAAAGAGTTAAGCAGAGGCATGGCCTTGTTCTTGCAAGAAAGGGAAGTGCTGATGGTGCAGCAGTTCTGCTGGAGCTTTTGCTACTGCAAAATCCTTCAATTCAAAAGCCCCAAAAATGTCATCGATTGAGAAAAGAAGGCTACAATGAAAACGGTATATACAGCAGTCAGAAAGTCGGTTCATTAGAGTTCAACGTATATATGTACAAAGAGAACATAGTTTCTGAATTTCCTTCTTCTTTCACTTACCTTAAATCTTCTTCCAACAAAAAGGAGTTGCTATCATCAACATTGGAGTCATCTGTCAATAAAACTTTTATTCTCGAAATAACCTGTACAATGAAAAAAATTCAGAGTAAACATTAGCCAAATCATGAAAATTATTTTCTATTAAAATTTTGAGAGAAAAGAGACTCTAGATAACTCATTGCATCTTACATCTGGAGAAACACTTAGAGTGTTGCTGTCATCATCTCTATAACGGGTGCATATCCTATAACGCTGTTGTGCACTTAACACCTGTGGGAAGATGCACTGATGTCAGGGAAAAGGGAGAGAAATTCTCCAAAAAGGAATTCAATTTTTGTCACATTAAACCTCACATGCTCCTTTTAAATTTCCCAGATACTTGAAATGATTCAATAGTTGGAAGGAAATCCATCTGTTTTTTTTATTTTTCACAAACATGTCACCCCTAATTTTCCTGAACTGGCATCGTTTTTGTGACCAATCAAAGGGAGTTCTCTAAGAACACTATCTTACACCCCATCCACACATTAGTAAACAGAGGAAATGGTTGAGAGTATGAATAATAAGCAAGAGAGAAATGAAAGACTTACAGGACAGAGTTCATTTGTAATTTCATGATACGTTATTTTGGATTTATCATGTAAAACCTGAAAAGGAAAGTTTGTGCAATTAAGAGAAACTAGAAATTGCAGACTTGACCTAATATAAACACAGTTTTTCACATGTCTGCAAATTGGATGCTAAAGGTCAAATTTAGCTTCAATAAGACGGAAAAAACCTTCAAAGTTCAAATGAAGCCCGGAATAATCATTGAATAATAATTATGAGGGAAATGAACAAGAAAGAAAGCCGTGCAATACTTCAACATAAATGGAAAAGGTAAAATATTGACAGAAAGAGCAAAAAGCATGAAAGAAAATAAAGCTCTAATACTAAAATATTGCACAAATAATTTGTGATAATTATTAAAAAATTAAAGATATTCCAAGAAATATGCTTGTAAAAGTGATGTAATCTAAAACCACCATGGTAGGTTAAAGGATAACTTTCAACAAAAATCAAGGTACTATTTCTTACATATTTAATTGTTGATCCAAAGTAAAAGATGTCCTTTCCAAATTATAAAATCATCAGTTTCACTAAATCACATTTTCCATGCAAAAAAAAAAAAAAAATTCAAATCGGAAGGTACTTCTAGAAAATTAGATCTTATTGTTGATAGACAAGCATGATTAAGACATCTCAAAAAACTATAAGAAACAGGGCAACTAAAATGAAAGCCACAAATGGAAGAATACACATAATAGCAAAGAAAGCCTGCAAAGCATATGGATTCAATTATATGCACAAGAGAGGAGACATACCAAGAACCCAATGGCTTGCCTGGTGTGTTTGAGTTCATCCTGTGATGTGCCTGTGTACTGTAATTAACAGAGACAAAAGACTGAATTAATGCATATTCCATTGAAATACAATTAAGAAGCAGTAAAAAAGCAAAAGCTTGTTCAATGAAGTGTTCAATTAACAAAGATGTTTTCTAATTTCCTCGATCGAAATCTGAAAGAGTACCACTTCTGTTGCTTGCTCATGCCATAGTTCCGGTTCAACTAACCCAGACTTCACATATTCACCATTGCTGAAAGTGCAGAACTCTTCACGAAGAAGTAGGCTGCAAACATACATCACTTAGCTATTGGTTAACCATTCCAAAATATGTGGTCATTTTCAAGCAGAAATGAATTCAAGGATCTGGTAGCATAATCAGTACTTCAAAAAACTTGGTCTCTTTAACTCAGAAAAAGAGTGCATGGAAGTCCCACATTGAGAGTTAAGGAAGAAATGTGTGCTTAGATATAGTATGGACTACTCCATCTATTGCCAATTGGTTTTAAGTCAGATGCTCATGTTGTCTTCAAGCCCACTTGTTTTCTAACAAAGTGAAAGAAAAGGTTTTAAATCACCAAGAGTAAGACCATCATCATTGAGTGTGTTGATTTCTGTACATGCTAAGAATCCAATAACAAAAATCACTTTGGGGGAAAAGAGGCATTTCACATTTCACCTCCTTAGGCTTACATTTCATGTCATGAATTACTTAAAAGTTTTCCACTAAATACTTATTAATCTGCATACCATGTCAAAAGTTACGAATTTGTTTATGGTCACTTTTTCAATGAATTAGTTTGATACTTATGAATTATAGTGATTTTTACTTTTTTTTTTTTTTGACCAGTGGAGTGATACCATTTAGTAGCGAAATTAAGCCATAGGTTACTTGACCAAAAAGTAGTTTGAGTTTTCATCTGAGAAATTAAGGGAAATTGAATGGTAAATTATGTGAGAGAAGGGCATAATTTACCAATGACATGTTAACATTATCCTTTCCTAAAAGTTCACTGTTGGTGTAGGATATTTGGGATTTGGGGAGCGTACATTTTTAACTAGATTTCACAGCAGTGAAGTTTATACCAAACCTTAGGGGGGAGTTTTGTAATTTATTCACAATCATCTTAACTTGCAACAAATCATATCAGGTTGACTTAAAAATCACCTGGAATCCGTGTTTACTGCATGAGAAAATATGATCTTGTCTAGGTAACCAAACATGAAACAACCCATAAAAGGTGTCAAAAGATATAATGGACATTTACCTATTGAAAAGATCTACATTAATTATTGAGAAAATTTGAGTGAAGATCTTCTGAGCAAGAATTGGAGGCACCTGCAATAAAAGAAAGCTATCGGTTCAAGAGGCTGCAAAAAAAGGTTGATTATATTTCAAGCTAGGATTGTCGAAAAATGGAAAACTACATACAAAATTTTCTTTCAGAGTAGAGAGCAGCCTATCAAGGCACTCAATGACACTGCTCCAGTGACTTACTGAAGGACTACTGCCAACTGACTCTTCAGATGATTGTGAAGCAGTTCCTTTTGATCCCTTGGATGCCTATGTTGCAGACATTAGGCATTATGAGGTTAGAAAACTACAGTTCTGTGATGAAAGTAACTCAAACTGAGCACATAGTTCAGCATAGGAAACGAATCAAGTATGAGAAACACTTCCTATTACTATCTTTTAGCACGAACAAGAGAATGTTCAATCATAATAAGAGCAAAATATGACTGTGGTGCAACAGTAATTCACAAAACCTACTTGGTATCTCCACAGCTATGACAGGATTAACTCTAACAGATCACCGTACTGTTAACTTTTAATCACATATACTGAAGCATACAGCAACCACAAAAGTAAGCTTAAAGATAACAGAATATCATGAAATCATGCGTCAAGGTCATGCTAGGTCATATATTGAAGCATACAGCAACGATCTGTCAAGTTGAAATTAACTAGTAATAATTTAAGTATAAATGAAATTTGGTAGGTCATGAAGCAAGTTATAGCCCAAACAAAGGATCCAATAACGGAAAAAGTAATTGGTCAAAAAATATATTTATAATGGAGAAGTACATGCACTTATACCTGCATACAAGAAGAAATAATAGGCACTAGCTCCCTTTTCAGATTTTCTTGAATGATTCCATATATCTTTTCTACAATCGCTGTTAACTGCTGCTTAAAAAGCAAGGCTGGATACTTGGCCTCAACCTGGCGAAATGTATCAGCTGCAAGGTTCGTAGAAGAAGAACGAAAACCCTGAGAAACAAAATCACATTCCATGGCATAAAATCCCATGTCTGAGTAAGGGAATTCGTTAAATAAAATGTTCATAATGGTCACACCACAAGATTTTAAAAGAAGAATTTTCTAAATGACAGTTTTTTAGATCACAGCTGTTTCTCTACAATCTACAATCTGAAGACCTGGGCCATCCTTCCAAGAAATGATGTTGGAGCGGGAGGCAACTGTGAACTTGAACCAGATGCACCATTGCCTTTTAAACAACGTTGAAGCAGGAACAGCAGTGCAGAAGTGTTGGACAGCCAATAGGCCAAGTGATCATTTTTGTCTTCATTCTGCAAAAGCATTCCATAATAAAAATTAGAAACATAATGTTTAGTTTACATTTTTTTTCCCAATAAGATGGTATCTAGACCTTTGGCTCAATTTTTCCCACAGGCACTTGCAAACTGTTGCATTCACTCAATGGCTACATTTAGTTTTCTGCCTTCTCTTTTCTTTTCCTTGACCTAAGGCATGCTATAAAAGCAATCTGGCTTAAGTTCCCCAGAATGAGAAAGTTTAAGTCTGATCCCCCTATCTAAATCTTGCATTTTTTTAACCAAAAGCATCCATTAAGTGTCTATCCATAATCAATTGAAAAGGAAGCAGTAACAATCATTGCTGTACCTTTGTCAACCATCCATTTATTACACTAATTCATTTGAATATCATTTCCAATAGAGAAGGCAAGAAATAGAGAAGAATGTCCAGCTTTCTTTAGGTATTGAACTAGAAGGCAATTTAATCCCAATCACAATTGCCACATTATGGCTTTTCCTCGTAACTTTTTCTCTATGATTATATAAATGACTATTAGTTTGATATTTGACTGAATAAACTGGATTGATATTAGCAAACCAAGTTTTCTGAATAGACTAAATACAATTTTTGTGTAATCAAAACCAACCTCCTCAATTGCAGAGCCAATCATCTGAATAAGGCGATCAAACACACTAGTTCTTTCTGATTCAAATGATTTCCAGTTGAGAAGGCATTTGTATATGGTAATTGCTGCAACAGGTACTCCTTTATCAAATCCGACATTTTTTGTCACACATGTAATTAGATCATCTACAATCTCCTGCATCACAGACCGAAACCAAAACTCAATATCATCAATCTTCACACAGCGTGCCAAAAAAAAGAATAAAAGAAAAATCAATATTAACTTCCACTATATGGGTACATACTTGCAATGGCCCACTCTGAGATCTCTTCATAGGATCTGTAACAACTTTCCTTTTGGGAGAAGAATTCTGTGGATCCTGTAGAAATGGGCTTTCAATTTTGAATCATAAAAGCAATAAAGAAAAGTGGGGCAGATACATTTCAAAGCTAACGCAATAGGGAATAGTACTGGCTCCATATTCTTCACTTACAAGATGACCATTTTCCATATGCTGCATTACATGTAAGGGAAAGGAAGATGTATCAGCAAAACTCACAGAAGTACCTTATCAAGCAACGAAAAGAAAAAAAACAAAAAGTCACCGAAGTACAGCTTAGGAAAAGATAAAATTGTTTTGCAGCATATTTACCTGAGATGAGGAAGGTGACACTTTTCTACTAACTTGTGTATTCAACAATGCTTGCTGCCGCAAAACCTGATCCTCATGTTGCATATCAGCAACCCTTTCTTCCAGCCTGTGAACAGGTAAAGACCATTATTTTTAAACTAAGAGAAAAGCCAATTTGGAATTCTTCCATATTAACAAAGTTCAACAGAGGTACAAACTTTTGCATGGTAGTTTTAAGCTCAATTATCTTTGATTCGGCATCTAAAGCCTGCTTCAACCACTCTTCACTGAGCTTACTTGTTTCATCAAATTTCATCTCTAATGAACTTACCTGAGCCTGCAATGCATTGTAGATTCAAATCCACAATTATGCCTCTAAAATTGGCTTGAACCACCCATCATTGAATTGAGAAGCAACAAAGTCATAGTCAAACCATTAATTCTTGATTTTCTGCCTTGAGTTTAGCCATTAACTCATTATCAAAAACAGGGACCTCCTGAGTGACAGAATGCTCAGCCACTTTCTTAGCAGCGTCACTTTCAATGACAGCAACATGCCCAGCCACATTCTTTGCAGCCTCAGGTTCCTTGATTTGCAATGCCTTTGTTTCCTGGAACTGGAGCTGTATCTCTTCCAAGGCAGACTTTAACTTTACATTTTCCTGCCACTGTAGCTGCATCTCTTTCTCAAGATCAGACTGCATCAATTGTTGCATACCTTTAGAAACAAACAATACCAAATTTCCCAAATAGCCATGCAGTTTAAAGATTCTAGAGAAATAAGGATATCATAGATTACTGTCTCATGTTTCTTTGTTATTCTTTCTAATAATGTTTCCCAGACCAAGAAGTTAGGCAGGGAAAAAAAGGGTCTATCCAAAAAAAAAAGAAGAAGAAGAAGAGAAAATGAAAGAAAGAAAGAAGAAGAAAGCTTCTGCATGAGCCTAAATAGAAAGAAATGGCATCTTTTAACAACATATAGCTTATAAGCAGAAAATTTATTTGCAAGGAGAATATCTATAAAAAAAGAATCTACCCTCATTTGTTTCTCAAGCTGCAGGTGGAAAGTGAGCTCTTCAACTTTTGATTCATGAGATAAACTTACCACCTTCTCATTTGTACAGTTTATCGTAATCTCTTCTCCATTAACTTCTTCAACTTCGCCATCTATCCAAGCTACCTGCGGATCCTCTGCCCAGACAAGAGACCCAACTACAACTGAAGCAACCTATGCAGCCATGTTAAATCATCAGTACATCAATCCAAAAGAGCAATGTCATCAAAAACAAGATTTAAGAGATCAATCTGTTATCCCTAACAACTAATCACTCAAGCGTATGTTGCAATTAAGCACCAAAGATGCAAGGTTCCCACGCGGCAGTAAGAATGTACCTCAAACGAAAAGAATTCACATCTTTGTCACTCACACTAAAACAAAGGGTAATTAGCATGCAAAAAATAAATAAATAAATAAATAAATTTTGGCTTGACATGAGAGAGCATTATCTATCATAGATTCATAGCCTTTCTTATCAACTAAAAGGATTCATCTGATTGTTTCTTAACCACAAATTGCTTTGCCAACTTAGTAACCCAATTAATGCATCATTATGGATTATTTTCTAAAGATAAAATTAGACTAACATAATACTTCTTGTTTACAGCATTTCTTCATTTAAATTTCTTCCACAGCCATTGATCATGAAAAGGCATTAGCATATTAACAAGGTATAATGCCAATTAGAGAAAAAAAAATTAAAGAAAAACAGATCACAGAACACACTGCAATACATATATTGATATATACACACCATTTTTTCTGATCACATTCGGATCAAAGGCAGAGCCAATGAACCCTAGATTCCGCCAACAATCAATGGCGAAGGAACCATTGGCAATTTCATCTCTGCCTCTATTCAACCAAATCAGAACCGAACAGGAATACCAAACTTCTCTTCTTCCTATCTGCGCCTAACGCGATCATCGCCAATTCTTCATCACTACCGAGGATTTCGATTTTCTCCCTAATTTCTTTACGTTTTGAGAAAACAAAGGGGTAAGGAAGGCCACATTGAAGGAAGGTGCCGTTGCAGAAACAAAAATGGCGGACCTAAAACCACTTCTTTGGCCAGAAGAGAAGCAAACCCCGAAATCAAACGCTTTCCAGCGGCTAAGTATTCTTCCCTTTCTATGATTTTCTGGGACTTTCCTTCATTTTCTCTTTAATTTTCTTCTCTAGCTTTCTTCCCATCTTAGGTTGTTTGATGCTGCACAACAAAGTGAACTCATCATCCAAACAGAGAATTCCAATTTTACCCTTACTCTGCAGATGGTGCCATGTTTAGAATTTTGAGGGTCTTTTTTTTTTTTTAAGCAAATTAAAATGTTTAAGTTAGTGATAAAAAAACAGAGTGATTAGAAAAGGAGGTGGATTATCTATGACATAAAGCCAGCATAATATGACATGAAAAAATCATTTTAAAATAGAGAAAATCCTAATCTTATAAAGTTTTTCTAATAACCATATAGTATCCAATATATATATATATATCAAATTATACATTTCATTGTGTCAAAAGAGTTAATCATACCATTTGTCATTTGTAAATGATTTTTTTATTTTAAA